AACACCGATAATACCTTATTTTCCACAGGGACCTCCGTCGTCCGGCGCTTCTTGCGTTGGGTGCCACCCGCGTGCCCCCCTCCCCTGCAGCGCCTTCCCGGCGGCGGCCGCGGGAGGGAGGCCAGCGACGGGAGGCGCCTCTCTGCTTTTTATATCACTGCCTACCATTACGCTTCTCTGTTCTTCCGTACAGTCTTAATAATTTGGTGAATTCGTGTTACTGCCTGTGTTGTAAATGGACATTTGAGAACTTACTGATGTTGGTCTTACTGATGATGTGGCCAATTTGGCAGTGATTCGGCCGGATTCAGAGGGTCACTTTTACCCATTTTCCTTTCAGTATCGGATACATATTCATGCCCCGGCTAGTTTTATTTGTTTCTGTTAATCTCTCGTTATGGTAATTAATCAAACTTTTTGGAAATAAAGTATTTATGATAAAGAGAGGTCAGAGGGGAGAGCTGGAAAAAACAGACATCACGACTAATCTGTGAATTGTAAATCTGATGCAATATTAAAGGTATGAAACTGCCTACCGAGAGAGCAATGGCCAAATAACACTTATAGTCAGTGGCGTCCTAGAGAAAGAGGTTCAAAAATACAGATCAGTTGGGGGAGTTGATAAGGCTTTACAAAGAACCCCGCCAAGGAAGTATGCTTTAGGTGAATAGCCATACATGTAGGACGAGAGAGATCTTTATTTGGATCGGGTTTTTCTCAAGCAAAACTCTCCCCAAAGAAAAAGTCGCGAATAAGTTCACACAAGGAGGTCCATGGTGCATCCTTAAAGTGGCAAGGCTGGCGTTTGGTAGAGGGGGTGGAAAGGGACTTGCCCGTCTGGGGCTCGTGTTGGGTGCTCTGTCCAAGATGGAGAAGGACGGAGCATGCTGATCCCCGGGCCATCCCATGAAAGGAAAAGCAAGGTCACCTACACACATATAAGCGCCAGGAGGAATAAAAACTGCCCCAAGGCAAGAGATGAGATGGTCGACGAAGGACGTCTAGGTTGAAGTTTCTCGACAAGCAAATTCCTTTTTTTAAAACGCCTTTTGTAATGTTAATATTAATGACCACTTGAATCGCGCCCTTTTCTGAGACTGGTATATCAGGCATGAAACTAACGTCCAACAGAAATATCTTTGACACAAATACCGTGTCACACAAGGGATGTAAGTACACTCCATTGTAATAAACTATTTTAATAAAATCACACATTTTAACTGCTGAAGTGTCCGTAATTACAATAACATCCTTGATGATAATAACATTGGTTTGGTAATGAACAGTAATGAGTATAAGTAATTGCGGAAATTGATAACGTCGACGGAGGATATCACGAAATAAGCGAACAAGGAATTCGGATGAAAATTGTATACATAGTTCATTTTATAGAAGAAAAGTTCACTTCAATCACTCCCATTCACTCTATTTATCCAGTTTTCGCAATTCATTCTCTCTCTCTCTCTCTCTCTCTCTCTCTCTCTCTCTCTCTCTCTCTCTCTCTCTCTCTCTCTATATATATATATATATATATATATATATATATATATGTATGTATGTATGTATGTGTGTGTGTGTGTGTGTGTGTGAGTGTGTGTGTGTGTGTGTGCGTGTGTGTGTGTGTGTGTGTGTGTGTGTGTGTGTGTATGTGTGTGTGTGTGTGTATGTGTGTGTGTGTGTGTGTGTGTGTATGTGTGTGTGTGTGTGTGTGTGTGTGTGTGTGTGTGTGTGTGTGTGTGTGTGTGTGTGTGTGTGTGTGTGTGTGTGTGTGTGCGTGCGCGTGTGCTATCCGTGTCTGTTACCCAGCTGCCTCTTTCACTCAAACAAACTCCGTTCATTTTTCCATCTTGTCAATATGCTCGAAGGGCGGCACGTCGGCAAGCTGCAGTATCTCGACCATCTTGTAGACGGGGTACAGGCCGTACGATGCTGTCCTTAGGTTCCGGCCGGCGCGGAAGCCGTCCTGGAGATTGGGTTGCTTTCTGTAGTACTGAGGGATCACCTTCACCTGATCTCCCTTGTGGAGCTCGAGCTCGTTGGCCCTGCTTGCGAGGGAGCGAGAAAGGGAAGGGTCAAAGAGGGACCTTCCGTGAAGGAGGGGTCAAGGGAGGACTTGATGAAGTGGAGAGGGGGGGGGGGATTCAGAGTGAAAAAAACAGCAAGATGCAATGCAAAAGAGATGCGATAGCAGACGGGCTGACCTTCGAGGCGTGTGGGGGTACCTGGCCTGCACCTTGTTGCCGACCTCGACGTGGAACCAGTAGGCCGAGTCGACGGAGAAGGCTCGGCTCGGCGCGTCCGGGCGGAGTGTCTGCAGGACTTCGTAGGCCAGCCTGCATATCTTCCCAACGGAGAGGCGTTCAGCGTGAGCATTGAGTTGATTGCTGACATGGAATTTATCTTTTCTACTATTCTTTATTTTGTGATTTTCCTGATAACTATAATCAATATCTTATTCTCTAGAATTGGTGCCAACCTGCCTGAGGATGAAGCTTAACATGTAGCCCTACCACACATACCGGAGCGATTTTCAACAAAGTACCAAATAAACTCTATATATATATTTGTAATAACAGCAGTGATTTCAGTCGATGGACTTCTCTATTCTCTCAGACAGTTTATCATGTCTCAGCCGACGTGTTTTTTCCAAGTTTTCAAACTGTTCGTCATGGATATCTAACTTTGACGCTGGAAGACCAATAAGAAAATAGATATCTAGATGACAAAATGTCTCTTGATTGGCATCACTTAGCCGTTGTCTAAGTGATGAAATATTTATGATAGTGAAAATGGTAGAGGTGATAACTGAAAAGGAGAAGTATTAAATCCTCTTAACTTGAAACTTGATACAAGCTCTAGAGGAAGGATTCACAAATAGGCTTGATGACTTAAGAAAGAACTTTGTGTATATATATAGATGATATGTATATTGTAAAATATCATCACCAAAACTGATACATAGCAATGAACAAACACTTTTCTGTATTATCGAGAACTACATAAATATCAGCGCATCTGCCGTGCACTACCAAACGGCCGCTTCGTAATGAGGACTATCACTAGAAAGAGCAAGTCCTATACAAGTACTGGCATAGACTTTGAGAAGGACAGTGGCACTCTGCGGCGTCACCAAAGGCGTCTGAGCCCCCCCCCCCCTCCTCGGTGGCGTTTCTTCATCCCACCGGCTGTCGAGGGCCTGTCTTTATAAAGGCACGGATCACCGCCCCACCCCCCTCTTCCGCTTTCTAATATGCAACTGAATGCATCCTAATGGCACCCTAATAACATGATGATGAGACCTTGATTTAGATGATGATCAGGACATGGCAAATAAAGGCGATGAGTGCTGACAGCAATGACTGCACAGGCAGCAAGGAAGTCCAGCCCCGAGAACCTACATTGGAAGACATGCTGCACACGAGGAAGTCCGCGCGAGACAGGAAGTAGACGTCAGTCAGGAAGTTTCTCATGTTGGCTTCGCTTCGCCTCTTCTTCATGTTGGCGGTGGCCACGCTCTCCTCGTTGCACACGATCCTGTAGTTGGGATACCTGGAAGGGAACGAGGAGGGAATGTGGTACATGTGGGGATTCCACACAGACACACATACACGTGTATATACAGAGAGAGAGATATATGTACACATAAATACACACATGCACCTTCACACTCACAGGAACAAATAATACACACAGGCAGCTACACTCATCTTTCCACAAACACACATACACCATTCGGAAACCCCGCTCGCACACTAGCCACCAAACTGCCTCTCGGACACCGAACGCAACTCCTTCACTGACTTCTTCCTCGCCTCCTGCACGACTCGCGGGTCGTCTGTGGCCAGGTAAATCCTACGACTGGTCACGTTCGTCCCGCGAATCTCGAGGTCGTCGAAAAAGTCGTCCACGGCTTCCATGTACTCTTCTAGCTTTATGAATCTGGCTTCACGAAGCAACTTGTCCGTCCTTCTGACTTGTACCCTGCAAGGCAAGACGGTAAGTAGTCTGAGGAAATTAATGTTGCTTCTTGTAAGTGTGGCGTCCCTTTTTTTAATACGAATTAATATGCTTTAAAATGTTATGGTTTGAAGTTGAGTGTATAGTCGAGTATAAGTTTGTTAGCATTCAAAGATGAACTTTACTTGAATTAATTGTTTGAATTATTATTAGTTTAATAGTAAACATGACCACGCGGCCATAGTTGCTACGATTCACATCGTTTAGTTTGCTTTCCGTATGAGTAGCTTACTGACGCGGGAGAGATGGATGAACATAAGGAAATTGTATCTGATCAGTTGTGGAGAATCAAGGAAGAAGCAGCAGGGACGTTTTTCTCCAGAATCCATTGAAGTTTTCGTTCAGTAAACAAAATCCAGCAAAAAGGGCGAGGCCGCAGCGACACCTTAATGAAAATTACTTGCATCATCAAAATGATATTCATATTAAGAATTATTATAATGGTTATGATTAGGGTGACAATAATAATAATAGAAATCATTAAACCAGTGGTAATCATCAACTATTATTAACTAACATCATGGCTACAGTTAATAATGATAATGAGACCGATAATGATGATAATCATGATAATAATTTTAATAATAATGTAAAGGATGTAAATGATAGTGATTATCATTCTATGAACTGTGGCAATAATATTAACACAAACACCGTCGCAGTGACAGAGAAACATATCAATGGAGATAACACAGGGCACGTCACGAAGACCAGACAGAGAGCAAAGGCATCCGTTCTTCGCGCGCAGACCCACCCGACGATGGGGCCCTTGAAGCCCAGGCGCGCGCCGAGCCCCTCCACGTGCTCCCGGAACGCGCTGGTCATCCTCAAGGCGTACTTGAAGAACTGCCCTATCCACCAGGCGAAGGGGTCGGCGTGGGCGCTCTTGAGGCGCCGACCGATGTCCTTCGGGACGGACTTCGGGAAGTAGCCGGGCCGCGGGACGAAGCCGTCCACGTTGGGGAATTGCACGACGGGGGAGTTTGCTCTGCCTGCAAGGGGACAAACGGCTTGCTTTTGCGGACTGCAGAGGAAGAGGGGAGTTAGAGAGAGAGGAAGTGAAGGGTTGAGAGAGAGCAGTGCTAAGAACAGAAGAAAAACGAAGGTTTGGAAAATTGCAAAAATAGAAAAAATAACTATCATTTTGTTCTCTACGAAACGATAAACCACCGAGAAGCAACATACTCGAAGAGTTTACCTCGAACGGCAAAGAGCATCTTTATCCCATAAAAGTTGACAGCGGACTCCCTGACGCGCGGGGTCAACGCTCCCCCCTGCGAGCAGATGCAGTTATAACTAAAACCAAGGATTAGATAATATTTATTTCCTATCATGTGATAATTCTGGAGTGATGCTATGAGTACCATGCGTACACATATTTATATTCCCCCCTTTTCTTCGGGGGGAGAAGGGTAAGGGCAAAGGAATAATAAAAAAAATTCTAACCTTTCGATACGCGCACGTAAATGTAAACAAACTATTCATATCATTGTACGCTGAGAAGTCTGGTGTATGTCTTGTCCTGAGTTTTCTTCAGACTGTTCCTCAGAATGGGTAATTCTTAGTATCTTCTGGCACCCTAGTCTCCCAACTGTCCAGCCAAGGTCATCTCCACTACCTTGCAGCTCGTAATGTGAGAAGTTGCTCGCTCTTTTTGTTGCATATCGTTCTAAGTGATGTATTATGATCTTAACAAGAGTGATATTTATGAGTGAAACTTCCCAACGTCACGCATTCCCGTAATATGAATTCAATAACCTTACTTTCCATCCTATCTGGCTCCTTGAGATCTCACCTGGCCACCTGGCAGCAGACCCATTTGCATGGACACAGGTTTCACTGAAAGGGAGGAAGTAGGGGTCCAGGGCAAAGCCCGTCCCTACTGCTTCCCTGTTGTCAATGATTAGCGTTCTCTGCATCCCGTAAGCGGCGAGGAAGCAGTAGCTCAGGTGGTGAAGTTGACTGCCTATTCCTCGATTCTGGAAGGAAAAAAGGTTTAGTACTGGCCCTCCGGTTTCCTACCCGGAGTGACTTAGGTTCGAGGCCTGGTCAGGGAGGATTGTTATATATCTATCAATGCGGCATTGCATTATTCCATCTTACCTTTTTTGTGTAAAAATATGCCCTAATTTTAAAGGGGAAAAGTGTAAAAAAAAATTAATGCATAGGGGTTCATTTATTTCTATGCAGAAATGTGTACTATCCTTACCCTTGCAGACATATCTGAGAACTGGTATCGAACTTTGCAATGCACATTTAATTTTTATTTGAATGAGTTAAAATCTGGTACATATAGAAGTTTATACATAAGGTGTCAAAAATAGAGGTTTTGTTTAATTTCCGGCCACAGGCATATTGTTAATATATATATATATATATATATATATATATATATATATATATATATATATATATTCGTAATGATAAAATTACAGTCAGTAACTTATTCTTGGTGCTATGTCGTCGCTTAGCACCGGCGCTGTAGTGTCCTCCAGGGAGCAGAAACTCCCAATATCGAGTTGAAGTCAACAGCTACTTTGGATTTTTTCTACAAGTTTACTCCCTCAGGTATCTTGGCAATACACTCGACTACAAAAGAGCAACACCCTTGGATTTCAGTAGTGATGTGGGGAAAGTGGACCTGTCGTCCTAACGCACCACTGAGCACACACACACACACACACATATAGTTATATATATATATATATATATATATATATATATATATATATATATGTGTGTGTGTGTGTGTGTGTGTGTGTGTGTGTGTGTGTGTGTGTTTGTGTATATATATATATATATATATATATATATATATATATATATGTGTGTGTGTGTGTGTGTGTGTGTGTGTGTGTGTGTATATATATTTTTTTATTTACTTACATTGTGTCTAGGGGAACTATAAGGCAAATCTGCGTGGCCTCCCCACAGACCTTCAAACAGGGCAGAGACTGCAAGCAAACGCCGAGCCTCTCTCCACACCGCTGAGAGCAGAGGGTGCAAACTCACCTTCAGCTGGACAGGAAGACGGCAGATGATTCTCTTGGAGGATTTGCAATCAGCGGGATTCTGCAACACGTGGATTCGGTGCTGAATGAGGGCAGAGAGCTTCTCGACCTCCTTCGCCTGCCATGCAAGCAGGCCGGACGCGTTGCGCAATCGCCACAGGTCATATCGGGTCACTCTGTGTATAAGAAAGTCAGTAGACATACGTACACACATACGCACAAACATGCACACACACACACACACACACATATGTATATGTGTGTGTGTGTGTGTGTGTCGTAACTATCTTTTGTTTACTTCTGTCTAACAGAACGATTACACTGCATACTCATCTGCATATTCGTTATCTAATAACTGCGGTTAACACTGGGTCTCTTCCCCCTGCCTTACCCCCCCCCCCCCAAGAACAGTAACCCCCGGCACCAGTACCTGAATTGGTGTCTGGCCTCTAGCATTTCGGCGGCGGCGCTC